GCCGTGACAAGGGAGAAGTTCCCGGACCCGCCGATACAGCACCTCCGCCCTGCGAAAGTCGATAGCAAGGTCTCACTCCTATCCATATGATTCGTAAGATCGATGGCATACATCACGGACTTCGAAAAACCCCCTCAGTTTTTTGCACGTTTTCTCTTTCGCTACACACATACTGTTTTTCATGTCCTCTAGCCCATCACTATCTGGCAGACATCGCTTCGCATTTTGAACTGGTATTTTCATGATTCTACCTTTCCGAGCTACTTTTCGACCATAAGTGTTCACTTAAGAAGTATTGTGGAAAAAAAAATTCCACACAGTTTTGAAAGTCGGAATCATTCATTCAGAGAATCGAACATCAGAAAAGTTCACGATTCAAAAATGGATACATTGGCATATATTTTCATCTATTAATCTATAAAAAGCTTTAAAACAAGTTTCGGAATCATTTCACTTTCGGTAATAATCCCCATAAATGCATCATTTTTCGAATTGTAGCGGGTCCATTCCATCGTCCTTTGACCAGAAATCGCCAGTAGAGGAATGGCATCAGATAGCGTTTCATGTACCATGGATGCCGTCTAAAATAAACATATCAAAAGCTATCCTGTGCAGTTTATGAAGGCCGAGGTCTAGCCGAAGCCAATATTCCTTTGTGCCGCTTGTACATCCTGTTCCTAAGCCTCCTTTACTTTTATCGTGAATGTTTATGTTGGAGCTACGGAGAGCACTAATGAGGAATAAGGGCTGGATCAGACAGTACCGCCCATTTTCGCTCAACTAGGCCTCTGCCTTGGAAAAACTAATTCAATAATACGAAGTTTTTAGAAAATCACCTGTCATTTAGATACCATCTATGGGCACCACACGAGCGCCAAGCTCTCCTTCGATTGGACTTAATCCAATACTTCCAGAGAGGCAATTTAACTATCATATTTTACCTATTCAACTAAGATTCTGTCAAGCTCACCTGGCCACACTTTGATTAAATGGTGTAGTTTCCATTCGTTGTCCATCAGGCCGGAATTCGGCAAGGATGGCTTTGCTTCTGCTAACAACTATCGGGCAAGAAGCGTAGCCATCGTACTGAATCAAGCAAGTTATTTAAAATAACCATCGTTAATTTCAACACAGTTGCTCAACCCACTTGTGCTGGTGGTTCTTTTCCTTCCAAAACAGCAGTGAGATTCTTGTCAAGCGTCTTCAGATGGCTTGATACTGCAGCAGCCGTTTTAGCATTGCCCGTATTCATGCAATCTCCCGCGGCAAATACATTTGCAAAATGTTTTGACTGAAAATGAGGGATGAAACCATGAAATAGAGGTCCTAGGTAAATCTTGAAGCCGGACGACTAGGGTATTTAGATAAAAGGAGAAGAATGTGGAGGAAGAATTGCTGTGATAATGGACCCAGCGTCCCGTTTACGGCCCCTTTAAGGGAAATCAAGGAAATTGTCGAAAGTGGCAATTCGAAAATGTAAATAAAAAATGACGTTCAACGACTTACTCGTAACGTTTGAGGGTCCACATCAACCCAGCCTTTTTCATCGGTCAGCTCACGACACTCTCGTACAGCCGGTGGAGTAGAACATGGTGGTCCAATATGCAGCAATGAGTACTAAAAGCTATCATTAGCCGCGCCGTTCACGTCCTTCACACATAACAAAAAGATTTTTTTTGCCATAAATCATGAATATCGTGGAGCTATCATGACCTCTGAACAACATGCACCCGCAACCAGCTCAGGTTGCCTCGAAGTATACAGAAAGAAGGAAGCCCCTTTCATTTCGGAATAGTTAAGATTTTCGGCTAAAATGTATGTTTGGCCCATCTATGGCCACCAAAAATAGTATATGGGACAAGTTGGGGCAAAAAACTGTTCAAACAGGGTGTAATGAGAGCCCTAAAACGCGCACACTCAAATTGTCCGGGTTAGTCTGGCCTCGTTACTACTGCACTATTCACAGGACGAGGTGAATAGTACGCTTATGTAAGAGACACCCAGACTGAAATAGACGACGATCTCGTACAACCCTTTTTTTTTTTGCTACTTTTCCGAAGTCTTTTACTTCCGTAAAATCCGCAATTTTTCGGGCTTCCTTCGCCATCCTTGCACTACACTTAACCATGGCTTCCACTATTCCACTTAAAATTGATACTTCACAATCATCGTGAGCTGTATCTTTAAAGATGAAAAGGATAACTGGGCATAAGTGAAACTCACCGGTATTTCTGAGATTTTCCCGTTCGGTACGCAGTTCTCGTCAAGTAATTCGAATTTGGCAATTTTATTCTTCGTATCCACTTCAACCAAACTATGTCTCGTCCGCACATCGATATCCTTTGATTTAGCAATTGCGTTCAACGAATTCAAGTAGGCTTCTATTCCAAAAAGCTGGAAATATTGCGTGTATAAGAAATCACGCGAATTTACTTTTTAAAAAACTTATGTTTTTGTAGTGGAAAGAGCAAATCACCCATATGCCGGCGGTTGGAGCGTGGGTTCATGAGGTGGTGGCCGGCAACCGGAACAGGTTGTTCTAACAAGAACTCCACCTAATTAAGGATTCTCCGCCACCTCATTTCCCATTAAGGGGGAACCATTCAGTGGAAGGGCAGCTAATGTGGGCACATGGGATTGCTTTCTCCTGGAGAATATTTCCAATAGTGGAGTTGCATAAAGGCAGTTTCCTAGGGGAATGAAGGTGTGAATTGGGCGGGCTCCAATTGTAAGCTACTGGTAAGTCTCGTTTCCCTGTCACTACATCGTTTTTCTAGCTGCTACTCGTTTGGATACAAATGACCCCTCCCTCTCAAATTTGAGTCGAACCTTCATGTCTGTTTCTGACAAACTGGTAGGAAAAAAGATTTGAGTCAAACGGAAGACGTACTCACCCTTGGCAAAGACGTTGCGTAGATGAAGTGGGTCTTGTCACGGTAACCACGACTACGTACAATGTCCTCACCATAATAGCACACTTTTTGTGGAGCTCCAGCACATTTGATAGGGGTGTTTGGGAAGGTAAATATACAGTTACCAGACTGAAAAATAGCGATTACTTTTTTGACTGTAGACAAAGTATAGATTGATCGACAGTCATGGATACTCATTCAGATATCAATGGTCTTACCGTGACACTAGTGAGCTCCTTGTAAGTTTTTGTGCAGTGTAATGGAGAATAGTTAGAAGTGACACCAGGAGTTTCAAGAGCCTCCGGTAGGCCTTTAATCTGGAAACCATCAGGAGAGCAATTCGAAACGTAAGGAAATTCACGACTGTTCACCACTCGGTGAAAAGCATACCATGTCCCAACGGAGCTGCACACCTGTGGCCAGCACCATATAATCATATGTGATCTCGTCACCATTCCTATAAATGATGAAATGAACGTCCTCGTTTGATTATGGGTTATGGGCAATCCTAGCAACATTGGATCTTACTCTTACTCATCCTCTTTGCCATCCTCGAATGAACCTGACATCCAAAATCGCATTCGATTTTAAACCTTACGGCTCATACTCCCTCCTTGTTCCCAATGTTGTCCATTCACTTGAACCCTATTTTTTCTCGAAATTCTCTCATCCATTTCTAATAAAGCTGTACCCCAGTCTTTCGTCATCTTCATATTTCTCCCTGACTATGTCCACCTCTCTTTTTCGGATTAGCTCCTTGTTCCGCCCACGTTCGCCTTTCTTATTTGGCTTCTTGTTCTCATATAGCCCATGCGGGTCCGGCAGCAGTAGAGGCTCATTCCTTCATTTTGCCTCCCATTCTATGCCGAACAAGGTTTTTGTTATCTATCTTCAGTCTTATTAAGGGCCCTGCCATGAGCCTCCACCTTGTCACACCCCACCACTCCCCCACACCACCTTCTCATATACATAGCCTATGCAGGTAGGCAGCAGTAGAAGCCCTTTCCTTCACTGCTTCCCGCCTTATGCCGCTTAAATTTTCTCTTATCTATCTTCTTTCTTATTAAGGGTCTATCGCTTTCTTTCATAAGCCTCCACTTTGTCATACTCCAGCACCCCCTTACACTACCTAGTGACTTAGCTCTTGATGTTCCTCCTGATTCTTTTTCTGACTTTTGCCCTTGAACCAGATCAGTCAATGAGAAACCATACGGATCACTAAATTTTCCTGGAAGAACTCAATTCTGCCTTACGAGAACGCTTTGCGTTACTTTAGGAGTATTCGCCAATTCTGTTGAGCCACCATTCCTGCGATTTTTGAGCCCTAGACCCCAGAGTAGACTCCAGTTTTCATCATAATATTAATATACAGCTAATGACGAATTGGTAGCAATTTTCAGACTGACTTTAACTTCACCAAGTTCTTTTTCGGCTCGAACTTTACAACTTGATCCTGAATCCACACCGATTTTGGATGAATAAGATCCTTTTCTCGCCTAGTATTCTGCTCCACTGTCATCCACCCACCGCCAACCATAGTGAATCCTGGCTGATAGTAGTGCTTCTGAAAAATTCAATTCGTTTCATCAATCGGTAGGAATCCAAAAAGGAGATTCTTTATGTTTCACACGATATTCTAAGGATCTCTCTTTTCTTTGTTACAGGCCGATTCAAAGCAAACTTTTGTTGAAGTCTTTCATGCCTTTGGGGATAACTGCTTGAATTCTACAATATTTCAGAAATATGAGAAAGTTTTGTAGATACCCAACCATGGATATACCAGGCTTGAATCGACTCATAACAAAACGAACAACGGTGAACTTAGCCATGGTTCGGTACTGTATGTGAACCGTTTCTGAAGGCAGTTCACTTGATGCCCTGGACCTGCACTCTATGTTCGGATGATGGCAATACGGGAGAACGTGGGAACCAAATTCTATTTCACTCCCAGGGTCGTCGATTTTATGAATCGATCTACTTTGGCTATTCTCCATAGCTCTACTCTACAGTAACACAGGGCAAGAAACCCGAAATGAAAGATTTTATTTATTTATTTATTTATTTATTTAT